ATTGTAATCAAAGTTGAAGCATGACCCAAGAGAAACATTGCGAGTTTCAGGAGGAACAATTCAAAGTTGACAACATGTAGGCTGTGCTATACATGTGTATTATTTTTATTATTTATTTATATAGCAACAGTGGCACACACACGTAATGCGTCCAAGAAAAAGGAGGGAAAATCAAAACTTAAAAAATGTAAGACAAAACGATAAATAACATGTACAAAATCAATGTATTAATTACCGTACCCCTCCCATCCCTTCTCTAGTAAGGAGTACAGACAAGACCCAAACTCCTGTATCATTCTTTTTAGCACCATTATAAATTCCGAACCGTTACTTAATTAAATATTTTTAAAACACAATCAAAAAACACATTAGCATTAATACAATACCGTCAAATGAAAAAGCCAAAAAAAATTCCCAATTCCCACAAGTCCTCAGACAATGTAGCTCTCATTAAAGCCTGTTTTTCACTAGGCGAATTTATTCGCGCGAATCGAAGCGTCGGTCCAATCTGAGTTCCTGAGTTCTGATTAGTTGCGCATTTTTTTTCGCTAGCAAAAAATCCGATAGAAATGTGAATGCGCATGCGCATGGACCGACGCTTCGATTCGCGCGAATAAATTCGCCAAGTGGAAAACAGGCCTAAAGCCGGTTTTCCACTATTCGAATTTATTCGCGCGAATCAAATCATCGGTTCGCTTCCTGAGCTCTGATTGGTTGCGCATTTTTCGCTTCTCAAAAACTCCGATAGGAATGTGAATGTGCATGCACATGAATAATCGACGCTTTCGATTCGCGCGAATAAATTCGCCAGTGGAAAGCTTTTACAGCTGATAGCTGGAATCTATTGTCCAGGCTCATTTTGACACGTGCCCTGTTCTGCACCCTGACAGATGTTTATTAAGTAAAACGTGTTTTTCTCACTGTCCATCAGTGTGATGGATAGCCTGTTAAGTGTTTATGTGATGGGGTAGCCTTGATCAACTCAAGGATAGAGTCACCTGTACACAAACAATAGTTTAATAGACCCGTGTGTGTATTGTATTGAAATAATAAACACAATATTTAAAAAAAAATCATTGTAGGTTCATAATACTATAATATAATAAGCCTATATCTCCAAATTAATTATTTAACAGTGTTCGTTTGTCTCTCTCAACACAGTCTAGTTTGCATTTATTTAGCAAATAGTGTCTGTCTGCTTTCAATTTAAACTTCAATAAAATAAAAACTTTCCCTAACAAAATGGCAAATTCAAGACCTAATGTACATCCATTCTTTGTAATTCTTCGCGTTGACTGGTAGCCATAACTTTTGTATTGATCTACAGTATTTAAGCTTTGAGCAATAATGCAATAATAAAATAAATCAAATAGAAATTAGCGGTGGAGCAATTTCTTCTCAAACCATTATACCTCCTCTTTACATCATCCCTAATAAATTGTTTATTTCTGAAACCTAACTCAATTTAATCTGATTTATCTGTTTATTTTCGGTATACAATATTTCTGAGAATACCGTTTCCTAATGGGACATAGGTTTATGGAGTTCACCAGCTTGGAACAATAACCCAGTTGACCAGTCAATCGAAAGGTAACTGGAGGGTTTTGAATTCGCAAGTAATCCGAAAGGTTTGGTTTGAATCCTGATAAAAGCAAATATTGCGGGGTTTTTTTTCAAAACCACAATATAACATCATTATGATAGGCTAATATTTGCTCAAAATTTGAAACGCAGCGTCATTCGAGGCCGTGTTGGCCTATAACACCAAACAGGGTGTCTTAAAATTGTTTAATACCACTTTTAATATGCGGAGCTCCCTCTTTAATAATTGGCGCAATATTGCTGCCTAAAGTTGACACATCAACTGATTTTAAATGGTCTGTATTTTGAAATAGGATGATTTTCATATTTGAGCTATTATCATTCTTTGTATAATAATAATAATAATAATAATAATAATAATAATAATAATAATAATAATAATAATAGTAATAATAATAATAACAATAATAATAATAATAATAATAATAATAATAATATTACTTTATTATAAAGTTCAATAAAAATAATAATAATAATAATAATAATGATTATTATTATTATTATCATTATTATTATTAGGCCCTATTATTATTAATCATCATCATCATTATCATCATCATCGTATTATTTATTATTATTATCATCATCATCGTATTATCATTATCATCATCATCATCATCATCGTATTATCATTATTATTATTATTATCATTATTATTATTATTATCGTATTATCATCATCATCGTCATATTATTATTATTATTAGTAGCATTATTATTATAAATATGTTGAGGGGTTTCAAGAATTAGTTAACAAAGAAATTATAGGCTTTTAAAAAGTGACTATTGTTACATGGCGATGTAAATTCCAAATTCTCATTGGATGGTCTGGTTACTTCTAAAGCCACATACAACAAGGAGGTATAAACATTTAATATTTTTATTATTTGTACACCTCCTGGCAAACAATAACATCCAATAAGAATTAGGAATTCGTTAAAGACTGGTGTACCTACCGTATAGCCACTGCTTAATTTTAAGGTGTACGTGTCCACTGTAGGTTTTCTTATCAATACGTGTAATTATTGGTGAAAACTTAAAAATATCAATTACCACCGTCCTGCGGGGAACATTGAACCATGATTGAACCCATTCCACCATGGTACCACTGTGACGCAAAATATCGTGCGATGTCTAGCAGCCAGGATGTTCTTTTTTTATTTATTACCTTGCATTAAAACTTCCAATATCACCACCTGTTTGTCCTTGTTTTTCCCAGGTAAGGTAGATTAACCATAGGTCCCTAGTTCAACCAGGGAGTCAGATGGATCCTATATATAGGGTCGCTGTAGTAACACAGAATCACTTCGCTGTTTGATGTTGAACTGCGAGACATGATGAATCCGTAAGTACAACTACTATTTTTAATACTGCGTATTTATATTTCGATTTATTAGTGCTTTATTCAAGACAATTAATGACTTGGGATAGCCCTTTTAACTATATTGTACCTTATTAAATTTTTTTACTTTTATTTTTACAACTGAATTACTATTGTAATTTTAGTAACTTACCTGCCTGTTTAACACACATTTTCGCGATACGACAGTTTTAATGATATTTATTCGAATGGTTCCTCTTGCAACAAAGACTGAAATTTAATGATTTGTTTTTTTTTAAATACTAGTCATGCCGCTCTTTATTAATTTTCTACTTCTTTTTCTTATATCCGGCAAGTGCAGTAGAATGAACTGAAATATTCTTTTTTATGATTATTTTAAGACTAGAAAACCATATCGATTCATGTGTTAGGAACTCCACTTGCTTTAAATCTTTTTAACTTTCACTGAAAAGAACTGCTTGTTTAACGCTACAAGTTGTTAGATATGCAGTCCCGCTTCCAATTTTTTTTTTTCATATTTCCATTATTACCAGTATTTCCTTTGCTTTTTGTAGTACTGTGTTTTTTTTCTTTTTGCCAATAAAAATGATATTTCATTTTCATTGATTTTTACAATGCACAAATAGGCCTATTAATTAATATTTCCGGAACGGCATTGCAGGCCTATTTCTTAAATTGTAACCATTATTTTCCTTTTACGTTTAGCAGTGCTATTCTTTCTTTTGCCTTTTCCAGTTCAATCTATAATTCGACTGTAATTATTTCTAGAAATGCTCACATCTTTTAAATCCCTATGTAGGCCCTAATAAAAAGCCATGCAATAATAACGGTAATTTATTTTATGGAAATTTGGATTAATACCACTAACTGTGACCGTTGCTTGCTGTATTCCGTTTACGAAGTGTAGTGTTTATGCCTTCTACTATATAAGTTTCTATATTTCTGGCAAGTTTTTTTAATTATTCCTCTTCACCAAAGGGCATTTTGATCCGTTTATGTTAAAACAAATTCGTAGTTAGAATTGCGCATGCCCGTAGTAAAGGTCAATTGACATTAACAACAATAATTTTTAAACACACACAATAATAATAAACTGTGACGTGATGCATATGTAAAGATTACTTGCAACAACTAATAAACTAATATTTGACAACGAAAACTAATGTAAACCAGAGAGCGTTAATCAGCGTTATCCACGTGACAAAAAACAAACATCGCCGATTGGTCAGTTTAGCAACAAAATTTGCGTTAATATAATTTAGATTAAATTTCAGAAAATAAAAATTATAATATTTACCCACATAAAGTCAAAAAATAATTGTAGGCAACAGAATGAAAAAAAAACTGGATGAAAACATTTTTTTTACGAAAACCATATTGCCAAATTAAGCCGAAGCAACCTTGATTACGCAGCATGTATCACGGTAACTAGCCTATATTTAGTACGGTATAATATTTACCAGTTTTCTATTTATGGGGTGCCATACGCAGCAAAAGTCCATGTTAAAATGTAATTACAAAATTCAATGTCTGATTTATCAACAGTAGGCGTAAATTTCTCAAAACGTAGATCTAGTTTCCCAAAATGAAGTTCTTAATTTTTGAAAACGTAGTTCAAATTTTTTTAAATTTAGTTCTAATTCATAGGCTTCTTTTCAAAATGAAAAAGGCTCAATCTGTTTCATGGAGTGTATTTACCTGGTATTAAATCCCCTAAACTACTGTATAAACCAAGCTTGTTTTTAATTTATTTTGTTTTTTTGAAATTCATTTTACACTGTATGTACTGTACTATCTCGAAAAAACTAGATCTACGTTTTGAGAAATTTACGCCTACGTTTTGATAAATCAGACATTGAATTTTGCAATTACATTTTGATTTTAGCATGGACTTTTGCTGTGTATGGCATCCATATCTATTCGACTGGTCGTCTTCGTTAAGTAGGATTTTACAACTGCGCAGGGTGGGCGTGGTTTAACGAAGAACGACCAGTCGAATACAGCCAATAATTGTTCATAAACCTTCAGTACGAGCATGCGCAGTTCAAACCACGAATTGCTTACCGTAAAACCTCGAATTGAAGGCCAGTGGGCTTAATCTCAAGATGAAGCCCATCTCGTATTGAAGCCCCCTCTTTAGTTTGCAAGGAGCCTCGAAAAGAAGTCCATGGGCTTCATTTCAAGATAACATAGGCGTCTTTTCGAGATAGTACAGTACATACAGTGTAAATGAATTTCAAAAAAACAAAATAAATTAAAAACAAGCTTGGTTTATACAGTAGTTTAGATTTAATACCAGTTAAATACACTCCATGAAACAGATTGAGCCTTATTTATTGTTTTATAGTACAAATTCACAAAATTTACAGCATTCTTTTTGAAAAGAAGCCTCATCTTTACTTTGTAAAAGTAGCCTCGAAAAGAAGCCCATCCAAAGGTCGCCAAAAGCCCAGGGCTTCAATTCGAGGTTGTACGGTATTTTTTTTTCAAAATTTCTAAGGCAAAGTTCAATGAATAGACATATTATACTCTGAAAAAATGTTATAGGTTAAAATACACGGTACATGTTGTAGACAAACGTACGGTGTCTGATTTCCGACAAATTCTAAAAAAAAAAAAAAAAAAAAAAAAAATTGTACGGCATTATAACACCGAACTGTAATACATGGAGTACAGTATTAAAAAATTCTTTTACTATTTTGGCGGAAATCAGCCACCATAAACGCCTAGTTGTTATTTTCTTTGGAGTCCAGCCCAGGCTGTTTTGTATTAACTATGCAGGCCCGTATCCATGGGGTGCGATAGTGAATATTCCCCACCCCCACCCTTCCCAAAAAATATCGGAATAAGTTCATTTTTTAAGACAGTCAAGGCGATGCTGAATATAGAATTTGTTAGTTTTGGTAATTAATGAATCTTAAACATTTACATTATAAACCAGCAATATACTGTATCATTAAACCAGTATATATGGAGTTAAAATGGAAACTTAAACATGTTACTGCGCCCCCTCCCCAACCTCCCCATACCCCACCGCCAACCACATTTGGTTCGTTTTTCACCCCACCACCATGACAATTCTAGATACGGCCCTGTATTTTAATTAACGTGCTTTGAGTTCCACTGTTCATTTTTGTGTCCCCAACTCTTTGCAATTCTCTCTAGACAAATATTAGAGACATTGGGCAGTCCTCAACAACTTTCTTTTCTTTTCTTTTTGTACACAGCTCAACATTCCTCAGAGCATTATTTATTAATTTATTAATCTAAGGTTTTCGTACTGGTGTTACCGTTATTATATTTATTTCTTTACAGTATTTAATCGAATAAACTAACCGCTTTGAAAAAAACGCCCCTCCAGAGCCTCATTTTGAATAAACGCCTCCTTCGAATAAACGCCATGGGGTGTATATTTTTCCTCGAATAAACCCCCCACCCACCCTAAATTACTGTAATCAAAACTTAAGAAAGCAACAACATTCACGCATTCTACAGACTACTCCAGTAGAATTACATTTTTAGATTACCACATTTTTTACGGTACAGTACGGTAATTATGTGTCGTAGTTCCACATACAGTGAAATTAAAGGGCGTTTATTGGAGTATATACGAATCCATTTTACATATATGAAAAATAACTCCATCGAAATAAACGCTCCATCATAAACCCTTCTCAACAATAAATGCCCCAGGGCGATTTATTTGAATAAATACGGTATTATTTAGTTCAACGTAAATTTTGCAATGATTTGATGATGATAATGAAATTAATGAGAACAATTATAATGGTAATTGGTATAGTATTGATAAAAAATGATAATAATGATAATAACTAAATTATTATTAGGCCTATTTGTATTCTCACTATTATGTTAATAATATTAGTAATTAATAATGGAATTAATGATAAATATAAAAAAAACAACATTAACCAATTATTTGACTGTAATTATTATTCGTGATTATTTTTCTTTTTCAGAAACATGAAATTGACACTGAGTCTGTTCGTTGCTTTATCAGCAGTTATGGGAAGTTTGGCAAAAAGCAATCATGGTCATTGCCCTCCATTCTTTGCTCCATTTCAAGAAAGCTGTTACCGAGCCTTCGGAACCAAGTTAAACTGGCAAGCTGCAGAAAACGCCTGTCACGATCTCTTTAACGGCGATACAACGGCTCATTTAGTATCCATCAACAGTGAAGCTGAAAACTTGTTTGTTTACGAACTTTGGAAGTCTGCTACCGGTAATATGGTCGCTCAATATGACGTCACATTTTGGATGGGCCTAACCGATGCAGATGTTGAAGGGACCTGGGTGTGGACGGATGGAAGCGAAGTATCGTTCACAAATTGGAAACCAGGGCAGCCTGATAACAGCAGCGGTGAAGATTGTGCTCACCAATCAAATGGGGACCCCAACTCGAACACCTGGAACGACTGGGGTTGTGAACAAGAGATATACTATGTGTGCGAGATACCGCATACAGATTAGTAACGCAATGACAAACGAGACGACTCGAACCAATGATTAAACCATCGAGATAGGCCAACGGCATTAAGTCCTGGTGTCCATAAAATTGCTACTCTGTCGTTACATATTTTTCATTGCAATCGTTGCACTGGGTTAACTGCCCCAGGCGCAAAGAGGATGGCTACCGATTCGACCGACCAATCAGCGTCGCGAAAGGTCTCCGCGATAGCGAGTAGCGATTTTATGGGAACCATGCATTACTGCACCTTATGAATGATTATGACGAACTGTTTTTTAATCATTACCGATTAAATTTCAATTTTTTTAATATCAATAATTTGAAGAATAAGATAATAAAAAATTATCACCATGACTTACGGGTTTACATCTAGACTGTATTATGCAATGAGTTATAAATAGGGCACTCAGTTACAGTGACTTGTCACACAGCAACTAAGATAAGAATGGCAGGCCTATTAGGCTTTTTGTGAAATTTCCTAACCACTGTTCCAATGACAATCATCCAGCCCTGGTAGTTATTACTACAGTATCACATTTTATTTTATTTCTTACAAATGACTGCAATAACTTTTTATACGATTTCTGAATTTCAATACTACTTGTTTATGTGGTTGAAAATAAATATAGTAAAATGGTGTAAGAGAGCATTCCGTGTTTTCATACTATTTGAGTTCATAATCACCTAGGATAGAGGATAACAATTAAATGTCTTTTGTTGTACTATTTTCCTGGCAAACTCGTCGACAATCATTGCAGCGTTTATATTTTGACAAATGTGTTGTTGAGAGTTTAAAAGAAGAGTAGTAGTGAACGTTTCATTTCGTTTTATTTGACCACAAAAAAAACAAACAAACAAAAACAAAAACATGGTATAGGTCAGCATAAGCAAATGTTAACACCATAACGCTTTCAAGTCAGAAAGTCATTAAGTCTACGTTTACATAAACAATAATATTAAAGGTAGTTAACAAATTTTTTTAAAAAGGGAATAACAAAAAAAAATTACTTTATTCTAGGATATGACGCTGGGTACAATAATTACTGTAGCAATAATGGCCATAGAAATTAATTTTACAATTTATAAATATGAGATCCTGAAACAGTCCTGGGCTGAAGAACGTGTTTGATGACCAAGGAGTCGATTGAATGACCATCGTGCACTGTTCTGTTCACTCAGTATAATCCTCTATGACGATTTCCAGTCTGTTATTCATTTGCATTCCAATAGAAAAAAAATTAGCGGTTAAATATGAGATAATATACCAGCGGTAACGTTAACTAATGATCATATAAATACCAGTGGTGGTGCCAGGATTTGCCCGACGGGGGGGGGGGGGGGGGTGCGTCGGGTGCTCACGCACCCCCCCCCCCACAAATTACCGAAGGTCCACATTTTCGAGGGTAGAATCGCTGTCGCCACCACTGATAAATACAGCAACAAGATTGATGGGGATTTCAACGGCTAGGAAGCACCCAGTCGATTGTGCCATTCGGGTCACTATCCATAGTATGTTCCTCGACTGCATATCAGTAGGTTGCCTGGTAAACATACACATTTCCTACGTCTTCCACCATCGTACACAGAGTTGATAGTCCATTGCTACAGAAACGGAAATTAGCAGTAATAAACTATGGATTAAACATGTCTTAAGCTAAACAAATAATTATTCCATTAATTGCCTAATTTGTATACTGTATTTGATCTTCCGCATCTCATTACTACTTAACTGTTAATCTTGCTGTTGTTTTTATAATACCTTTACCACATAGACCTTTATATTGGCTGGTAAACATATTATTATTATTATTATTATTATTATTATTATTATTGTTATTGTTATTATTATTATTATTATTATTATTTTTATTTATTATTATTATTATTATTATTATTATCATTATTATTATTACTTAAACTTGTAGTTAAGTCAGAGAAAACCTTTTTTCGTTTTCGATCTGTTTCTAGGTTAATAACTTATTTGATCCCTTTAATGATTCGTGTACGTTTTATTAAACTGGGTCAAGTGAACTTACACGATAGTAGTTATCATTCGAATCAACACAACCACAGTTCTCAGGTAGAATACATTTGTCATTGGTATCTAGGAAGGTCCCTGGTTCTGGACATGCGCACGATGGAACACAACCCAAACATAATGGGTAGACAGCTGTAATTTGTTGTTTACAAGTGGCCGGACCGCACGATGATCCGCAATTTACTGGCTCGGGATCACCGGGGCAGACTGTTTTATAAGATCAGAAATAACATATTTTTAAAGTTTTCATTACAGATAAAGTGGTTTTTCGAGCCCTTCTTGTCATTCAAATGCTTAAGATGAGGGCGTATCACATTGATCTCTGTTATTTGCGGTGCGTCAAGAACTGCTGTTCAACTACGCATGTACAATAAAGTGTGAAAGATCCGTTTTAATAATTGAATTTGAATTCGTAACGAAACCTTATTGGCCACTTTTTTCACACTCACAGATTCCTCTTTAAAATACTGCTTTAAAAATTGCTTACTTTTACTGGTCAATTAAGAGATGCACAGAATTTATTTAGATTAATAATAAATTGACTTACTGGGTGGTGGGTTACATGTACATGTTTCACAGCCGTCTGCATTTGTTTCAAAACCATATTCACACATCACCGGAACAATTCCACAATTCTTTGGCTCGCATTCCGGGACGCAGTCGCAAGTCGGACATCCATTCTCATCAGTTTCCCGAACACAATCTTCTGGAGGATCGGCACACTCCTCCAAAATGGGGCAAATTATGATTTCATCATCTACGCATGCGCATCTGTCACATCCGTTTTCATCCTTTAAGTAGCCGTTTTGGCAAAATATACCGCATGTCACAAACGGTTTGTCGCAAACGGGCAGATCAATATCATTTTCTAAAAAACATAGAATTACAGTATTAAGAAAACTATCCAGCAATAATTACTTACATTAACCTCAGTGTTTTGCTTATTTTGTTTTAATAGTTAATTTAGTATCTATGAGCTATTCAATATATCTGGTATTTATATATAGGCCTATATAATCACAGACCCTTCTGTGATATAATATACAGGCCTCAATCACTTGAATTTGATTTTGGTGATGAAAATAAAGTTTGTCGTGTTTGCAATACGTATTAGGAATCGCCTTAAAACAGATAATTGGAATTCCTGAAATACAATACTTACCGGTATATCATTGTAGGCCTATTATTAAAATAGAAACTTTAAAGAAAATGACAGGCCTATTGTATGATAAAACGTACAAATAAGCAAATATCTTACCTGCGCGCGAGGCAAGGGAAATTGTCAGAAGCAGACTACACGAAATTAGCAAGTTCATGTTGACAAAGTTAAAGATCAATTCCTTACAGGAATCCACAAATTTACATCTTATAAACATCTTACCCGGATGCATTCTTCTGTGGAATTATAAAATGAAGATTGGTCACCCTCTCTCTGTATGTTAATGACCCACTTGACTAAAGAGTCTGGCAGAAAAGCTTATATCTAACCACAAATTCTAAACTAGAATGCGTAATAAAAGATACAGTGTTGATAAAACAAATATAAAATTTAACATATCTGAATTGCTTAGTTGAAAATTGTGTACTTAGGTAAGATATACCTTCTATTTAAAATTAGAACTAGATAATGTTTTAACAATTAACAGATCTATTAATATTTCCGAATGAATACGGTTACGTCATCAAATTTTTAGACAACCCTTATCATTATTTAGCTCATATACAGCATTATTGTCGAGAATGTTTAGGTACAAATGACAACAATAATGACAATTCGGATTCATTAACTTAGGTTGCGAAATCTCTTTAATAGGTAGTTTCCGCCGCAATTAACGTACGTCGAGCACGTAAAATCCTGACATTAACGTACTCCGCAACGCAAGATGAATAAATTATGACGTCATCCGTTAACATTAACGTTAACGTCGGACGTCGAAAACTACCTAATAATGTGTATAAATGACTTTCGCATTCAGGAAAAACTGTTTTCAATTTGGATCTTTACCGCATAGTACAATATTATATTACACCTCTAGATGTGTATAAGAGACAGGTTTTAATTAGTATTATATTCCGTATCCATATGGCGGATAATACTCATCACCATAAGATGTCTAGTGATTATAAAGTGGATAAGATGCCTTAAATATGATACAGCATTGCGGATATTTGTGATCTTGCCCTTGAGTTTCGGCATCCAGGATTAATATAATTAGACTTAAGTTATTACTACTTTCTTTACATTATATTTTCATTTATAAAAGTAGTTTCTTTTTCTTTTATATCATCATAGACGTATTGATATATTAATCGTAGACCTACTGTACTACACGTGACCTCTGACACACTATCTGAAATAAATTTTAAAAAATGTATCGAACTTATAACCGTGATGACCAAAGCAAGACGGGAAGTATTGAACGACTAACCTATACGTAGACTACTTCATATTTGAGGTGTATGAACTTTCCCTACAAGAAACACTAACTAGAAAAGGGTGGGTAATTTCTCCCAAAGGTGAGGAATTCCTGGCTGACTTGTGAATCTCTCCCGACCACCAAAAATAAGCATTTTTAGGAGAGGAATTCCTTTGGGGAGGAAGAGGTTATAATCCCTTACCCTGTCGGACATACAAATCCCCACACTGCTCCCTCCCCTAGCAACACAGTTCAGTAGGCCTACAGTATATTTGACCTGTACAGGAACAGGAGCAAGACCAATCCTACATTAACACATCTTATGCCTTCTTTATATTAGTTCTGTATTGTCTTTACTGTAACTGTTTCATACGGATCCTGGGTTCACTCTAACTTTCATTTTTGTTTAGCCAATTGGCTAAAGCTAAAAAAAAATTAGCCAATTGGATATTTGTTTAGCCAAAATTGGCTAAAATGTTAAAAATTGTTTTAGCCACTTATCATGCACTTAAATGGCCCGAGTGAAGTTACATGCAAATTAAAATGCGGGCGAAGCGCGCAAAATATTTTTGTGTTTTTAATTCTAATTTCGTCGGAATTGATAGAAACTCCCTAATGTGCAATTTATAGAGGAAATTGGCCTACCGTAACAAGAAATGCGCGCAAAGAATTTGAGAATTTTAGGCATTTTCTGAGGATGCATTTGTCAAGGGGAGGGGAAAGATTTTCCAAAGATGGATATTTTCCCCTTCTCCCCCGGTGTTTTTAATTCTAATTTCGTTGGAATTGATCAAAACTCCCTAAAATGTGCAATTTTTAGAGGAAATTGGCCCATGTTAACAAGAAATGCGCGCGAATCGCGCGAAATTTGAGGTTTAGGCACTTTCAGGGGATGAAAGGGCATTTATAAAGGGGTGGGGAAGATTTCCAAAAATAGATATTTTCCCCTGTCCCCCCGGCCCAGTGGTTACGCCATCGGGCAGCATAGATCAAAGGAGTTATGACAGTTTTTGAAGTGGAGAAGGGGTTGCAGGGTGTTGTGAGTCATTATGATATCTTCCTTTTTATTCTTGTCTCTATTTTTCTCTTCTCTTTTTCTTTTCCTTTCCTCTTCTTTCTCTTTCCTCCCTCTCCCCTCTTTCTTTTCTCTTATTACCCAGCCCGGTATGACGGCTTGGTCAGCCCGGTAAAAACCGTCAGGGGAGGGGCAGTTTTCTCCCTCCCCCCCGGGAGGGGAAGCCTCCCCCCCCCCACCCCGCGCCTGTTACGACACTGGCTAACACGCCAACCATCCCCCAATGAAAAATACTTTTCTGCGCCACTAGCCCTGGCTACGAACCACTACGAAGGTCATTGTTATTTTAATTAGCTTTGCAAACTGATCGTCGGGCTGATAAACAATGCGTAAACAATATTGAAATATAGTTTACCAGCTTTCAGCTCGTGAACAATGTTGCAATTTACTAATAAACAATGTTAGAACTTATTGTTTTGTTATTTCCTACCTTATTATCAGATCGATCATGTTTTAAAACTGTGTTTAGTACGATAGCTCCTAGTGGGCCGTCAGTATGTTCGAATTTCGATGTCATTTAGGCCTACGGCCTACATTTTCCCTAGAGGACAGCAGACAGTAATTTATACTGGTTAACTTTACAATTCGGAGAATTTTGATCTGATAATGTTCTGGTAGTAGGAACTTTCTTCTTTTAAATAATAATACTGATGACAAATCATGTACAAATTATTACGATTTCTACTTAAAGATCACGTTGTTTATTGTTTACCGTAATTTGAGGCAGAATCTGCTAAGCGATCCAATACTAATTAACTACAGAAATCACTACTTTGCCGAAGTAAGGCTAGTCATGCTAGACCGCATTTTCTTCGTCTTTTACTCACTGTCGCTCACAGATTTTCAACTTTTGCCACGAGGTTAAACTTTAACACATTTTACTGTGTTCTGTTTGGTGCGCACTCTGTCCGATGCTGGATTTTTGGGGTTGACAAGATGAACTGGCGTTTTGCCAAGTTTTATTTTCAATTGGGTTTTACATGTGACATTCGGTAATTT